TTATAAATGGACCAAAGTGCCGACGCCAACGAGATTTTGCTGGCAGTTTTTGCCAAAAGTCCCAACTGATTCTGGAAATCTACTAAAATTCAATTAATTAATAAATAACACAATCTATGTGGGTTTTCTCTTCTGTGAGCAGTAAGACTAATGTATACATCTATAATATCTTTAAGAGACTTCTACTGAACAGTTGCTTAATCAGTGATATTTAAGTTAATATACTGGTGTACAGTTCTTTACCACCTTCTTCCAAATCAATACAGGTTGTATAACCTTTGATGATAATTTGACAGTAATGGGCCTTTTATAGCTGAGCATCTTGCCAGACAATTTTAAAGGAACGTAGACTATTAGGTGTATTATGTGCTTTTTAATTTTAAAAAAAGAAAAAACTGGCAACAACACCCAGGCCTGGATCAAACTTGGTACAGTTACACTTTGGAGTTTCAAAGAAAGCACGGATACAGTTATTTATTACTAACAATTTGGTACCACAAGAAATGCCTTAAGAACGTGTAACTTCAAAGAAACAATAGAATGTAAAGGCTTTTAATTGTAAACAGAAATGAAGATGAAAATTACCGGAAAGGTGAGGCAACAATTTACCTCAAAGGAAAGAATGGCCATATTCATATTCATTCGTATTCATGATCATATTTCTCTGGACGTAACAAGCAAATGTCTGGAAGGATTCGCCACTCTGTGCCATCTGTGACCATCCTTCACCCTCTGTTAATTCTGTAGTATAGTAAAGGCGCACCAGATACCAAATAAAACCTTGAAAACTGATAAATTGTAAACCCTGTGATGATCATTATGAAATGTGTGAATATGTTAAGTTTGAGTTACACACACAACAACGGCATTCGTTTGTGAACTACCCTCATTCATGCAGTTTCCATATACACTGTGTGCTGCTGATGCATTTCATTTATCTGGCTGTTCCAGTTGAGAGTGACATCACTCTTGGGGTGACTACTTTGTTGCACTGCACAAAAAAAGGAAGCAACCAAACTCATGAATAGAACCCAGTTATTGTTGTAGGTGTGGCTTGTTTAACGAGTCACATTGTAACAGTAGAAAGAATCAACAGAATGAAAGTTTTAGTTTGCTAATGTTGTTGGTGCACTGTTGCCGTCTTGGACTGTTGTGTCACTGTGCTCCAACAGGAACAAGTGCTCCAGTTGAAAATTCTTAATTTCAACTTCAGATATAAGTCCATCCTCAGAAGACTGGGCTCCAGATTCAAGTAGGAACCAGCAAGTATGTGGGAACAAACTTGGTACTGAGGAACACACACTGCAAGAAACATTTCTGCACTGAAGCAACGGCTTTAACTAGAAAACTCGGCTGTGTGCAGTCCATCAGGTTTGATCCAGACTGAGGCCAGTATAGCTGTCCTTTATGGACCACTTGCAATCCTAATGTATGCATGTACGATCACATCCCACCCAGCACCCTTACTTTGTTTTTAACAAATCAGTAGGTGTCAGTAGAAGCCCTTTCAATGCAGAAAATAACAAAGCTGTAGCAGAGTCAACGAACGATTTATCTGAAATCCTGAAAATTGAAAATGCCACAGCTGAAGTATCATTTAAAACAAATATGTTTACATTCATCCACCGTGAATTTTCAGTGGTGCTCAGGACCGGGCTTTGCCTCCTGCTGAGCATTCACACATAGCAGACAGATTTAGATGCACCCACAAGACAAGTAAGGAAGAACCCACATTAGATTAATGAACCTGAAGCGACACACTGCCATTGCATGTGAGTGCCTGAGCAATAGAAATGCAGCCACGAACAGCAGTCGTGCTGTTCCCAACCACCTACTGGAATGATGACTCACTGGTGTTCTTTCCTTAGACATACGCAGTTGAGGCAGTTTAAAAAAATATGGTAGTTCTTTAAAACAAGGTCAGTGATTTTTTTTCTCTTTTTTTTGGATGAATGCTTATGCAATCAAACTGAGTCCATATTTGTTTTTACCTCCGTGCGGGAACAAGGCTGGCCTCAGGGGCAGAGGGACAAGTCTGGCTTGGGGGACATTTTTCTTTCCTTTTTTCCCCAGCTCCGGTCACCTCTGAGCTTTGACAGAACAACACTGCCAGGAACGATGGAGGCCGAGCTGTGATCTAACAACAGCTGACACACTGGTGGGGAGTAGCTGTGAACAAACCACTCTGCTACTGCAGCCGCTCCACCAGCCTCAGTCCCATTCTCCCATCTGGAAAGCGCCTCATTGTTTACAGATGCAGCAATGCGGAAAAGGAAAATATCTGCACTCTCCCAGGTTTAATTTCATCTCAGCCCATTTGCCTATTGTGGCTCATCTGCCTCAAACCTGAGCGTGGCTGTAATAGAACTCTGTCGCCCTCAGCTGTACCACCTCTCTGCCGCTCAGAGAAGGGGGCTAAGGCTGCCTGAGCAGCCACAGAGAGGCATTTATCAGTGTCAGACACACCACACAGAGGACTCACTGCAACACAGTTGTCAGCATAATTTGGCTGCCTCATAATCTCAGGCTCTGCAGCCCTGGGGATTATTCAACTTTTTACCTCTATTCAGTGGCAAGTAATATCTTTCTGTGTTTCGCTACACGGTGCAGAGGGCTATCTGAGCCCAGAGCAGGGTCCACTTTGTGTTTGAAATGTCTGCCCAGTGGAGAAATGATTGGCATTTAGAGATGAGGAGCAGCGCAATTATAACATAGTCGGATAGTCAAAAAAAAAGAGAGAGAGAAAATTTATATAAAACCACATGAGGGCAAATTGAAAGGAGGTTACTACAGAGGCGCCTGCGGTTTCAATGGTGACGTATGAGTTTCCTCGATTGTACACACTGAAGTGAAAATGATAAATCAACACCCGTGCAAAATATGCTGATTTAATATCACAATCATTTTGTTAAAGCCTTTTTAAAGTAAACTCTACCAGAAAAAACCCTAAAAAGACACTCAAAGCAAGTTAACAGGTTTGCTCAGGTAACCATCCTCTTTTGGTCAGCAACAAACAGGCAGGGTTAATAGGTGGTTATATATAGTGATACTCTATGAGAGACTGCTTTTTGGGTCGCCTACCTTCTCTCCCTCTCACTAACATGTCATGGTCGGCGGCTGGTGTCCAGCTGATCGACAGAGCCAGAAATCTTCTTTTGATTAGGTTCACCCGTGGTTGGCATGTCTAATGGGATATGCTGGATGAAATATCTGGCTGACTTTTATCAACCTTTACTCAGAAGTGTAAATTATTTACAATCTATAAAATTTCAGCAACAGAGGTGACTGAAGAGAAATTCTATTGGCTGTGATTGGCTGCTGTGTGTTATCTCTTACTCTCACTTGGGTTTTCTTCACTTTTGTCTGACTGCTTCAGTGGAAACTCAGCTGACCTCAACATCACTATTCTCCGGGAGCTCAATGCAGATGTTTAGGCATGACATGGTACACAAAGATTTTCAGCGTCACTATACTTAAAGAATAGAGGTAGAGTTGATATTCTTAGCCATAATATTACATTACACCTAAATGAAAGTAATTGTAATTTCGAGCTGGTTTATGTAGCATTATAATAACATTTAAGCATCTTTTAAAATATTCAGCATTATGCAGTTCAATGGCGAATCTTTTTGTGGGTAAAAAATTAATTATGGTGAAACTATATGTTGTGATTAGCTCTAACGTTGTCTCTGTGTTTGTGTTTTATATCGCTATGGGCTGGTGAGGATGTAAAAAAAACATGAAATGCTATATGTTGAAACGATTACAACAATTAACTGATATTGCAGTGACTATAATAAATCTGTAAAAGAATTCAATACAGCTTTGGCTGGCCTGTGACACTAAGCTGTGTAGTCACAGAGCCTGCAGCTTGGAGCCTACAGCGAGGAGACACTCTGTAAGAAGGTGTGTGTGTGGGTGGAGACCCCCAAAGAGTCCTGCCTGGAGACTTTAGGCTGCTTATAAACATTTCTTAAACACAGCTGGGGGCTGGGTTATATAGTGCCTTAGACATTAACAGTAAAGTCTTAAAATGATTTTGAAAACTTACAGGTGTTCACTGAAAAGAATGCAAGAGTGTTCTTATCTCCTAGAATTAGTTAAAAGCCTAAAGCAACATTTTGGGGATGTTAGAGGGAGGTGATTGACTTGTAGCTGGCTACTGAGAAAAGACAAATACAACATGCTACATGGGATTAAATAAATCACACTCTTCTTCAATACGTGCTTACTAAAAATATGGAAATTTAAAACACTGGTCTTCTGCAGTACAGTGAGTTTGTGTATGTTTTTTTCTTCTTCTTTTTACTTTGCCATACACAATTTTGTGCATTAAAAACATTATTGGAGTGGATAGATAAAGCCTGACAACTGACTGCTAACAAAGTTTTGCTAATAATTAGCTATTATGCTAGTCAGTTCATTAGCTTAGTTACTACCAATTCAGTTTATTCAAACCAATCATGTCACTTTTGTGGAGCAAAAGAGAAGCTTTAATTGCTTCCTCTGAATTCACCAAAGTAGACACATAATGCTAAATATTTGCTTAGATGAATTTGGATTTCTCAAGCAGGCGTTAATGCTGCAAATGTTGTCAGTCTTCAGCCTTCAGGGGAAGCTAGCAGCTTTGTGAAAAGGCTCATAAGTAATCAATGGTGTATTTTTAGTTGGCACACATACAGTATTTTAAGTCATGTAGTTTTAGTAGTCATGTTGAGCTATTACAGCTGTGCTGGTGTTTTTCCTACTCCACTGAGAGCACGTTAGTTCTTAAAACTGAAGTCGATTGTAAGCTCAGTTGCTGAGTAACCTCATTTTAAGTTCTATTCTTGGTAATCTTGAATTTTAACCAAGCAGTCCTTTTAAGCAAAGTAGGTGACTCACAAATGTGTCAAGAGCATTGCAAATCAGGATTTCATGGTGGTAGTGAAAACATAAGTGATGGGAGGGTTTTTTGTGTGTTCCACAGTTTTTTATGTAACGCTCCCTGTGGGCCTTACCTGAGCCGGGGTTGTGTTTAGCTGTATTGGAGGATGTGTGAGAGGTGGAAGTTGAGACCACCCTCTGGTCTGAACTCATGTCCTGCCCCAGTGATGAGCTGGACTTTCTTGGCTTCTTGTTTTTCAGGTGCCGTAGGGAGTTCTTCTCAGGAGGTGGCAGTGGTCGTTGGGGCCTGGACGTGGCGTTGACCTTCAACCAGGCTTGGGCCTTGTACTCCACAATCTCTCCGTAGTTAGCTCGTGTCACCCGGCACTCGTATAGACCTTCATCGTTCTTGCTGACTCTGGAGATCTGCAGCTTGTGTGAGATGTCATTGCCCTGGACTTTCACAGTCTGTTAGAATAATTAAAAAAGAACAGAACATTTGATAGCATGATGAATACCACAAGTTGCTTGCACAACACATAACTCTCACACTCTGGGTTTTCCCCAAAATTTGACATGAACATATCCTAATTTTACTTTTCGAATGTGGAAATAATAAGATTAAAAAAATAAAATCACAAATTCTGTGTCATTTATTCTAATAAACTGTACTTTTTTTGTATAGTTTATTTTTGTACCCGTACTGTCAAACAAACTGATTTGTTTGACAGTACGCTTTATTTCACGACCATCCATTTTCCTAAGGTTGATGGTAAATAATTAAGCGCCAAGGACGAAAACATCTGTCAAGTCTACGAACCACTCTAAAACCCACAAATGTGCATTTGTTAATAAGGGGTGAAGGAGTGATTCTGTACGGCTCTGAGAGCAGGGCAGCAAAGTCAGCCAAGCGCGTTAATCACGGCAGTTCAACTAGTCGTATGGGTGGCACACATGACAGGCAGATTCTTGCTCGGCTCATTTCACAACCCTCTTTCTCCTTATACTGACGTATAATTTTTATATACTTTTAAAGGACAGACATATCGCTATGTTCTCTCAATCAAGACAAAAAAGCACTTCAGATTAGGATTAAGGTAAAAGCTTTTTTCTTGGTTAAATATTGAAAACGTCAGTATACTGTGGTCCGTGTTTCAATTCATGGTTAACATGGACGAGTACACACACTTTCGGTATGAACATTTTGTGATTTTGCAGACTGAGTTTAATGAAAAACGTTTTTATGTTGATGAAAAACAATTTTGGTGGCGTCTAAGAGAAGCGGTTTTATATGCTGGTAAAAGCGTAGAGTCAAGAGCTTTGTGCAGGCACATGTACATTTTCCATCTTCTGATTCAGATGACATTATCACAAAGAAAAAAAAAAACACTGTCAAGTTCATTATGGGACTGGACATCATTTGCATAGATGGGATAGAGTATGTTTCTTTGTTGGCTTTAGGGAGCACTTCACAACGGAAAATAGCCTCTGGGAAAAAAATGACATTTTTACTTCAGTGCTAACAAAAAGGTAAATCAAAGACTAAATGCCATCCCTACAACCAATCTGTTCTGAAAGCACTGCAACAGAAAAAAGAACAACACTGCTACATCTGTTGCTACATTTCTATGCTTCAGTCCCAGTACAGGGATGAACAGGATGGTATCGCTGTTTTTGTGTTGCTGTTTTATTTTAAGAATGACACAAACTCAGTCTTATGCTACAATCAGCTTAATTGGCTATTTTAGAAATGTTATTGTGGCAGTTTTGCTTCAGAAGCTGTGCCTGCGCTAAATATTAACAATCAAAATTGTCGGCCATGACACCTTTTCACAGGACGCAAATGTATACTTGCATGCAGTCAGCAGACATTAACAAAACTTCAAATATACTTACTAACACTGACACTGTATGGGGAAACATAACATGTCCGGGTCACAGATTCTCTGTGTAGTTATACTGGCTCAACCTTCTTGTTTGAGACTTTTTTTGTATTTCAAGAAGTTGAAAAATATTTGAAGAACACATTATTTCAGTTCTCAATTTGAGACTCATAATTTGAGTACCTTTTTCTCTGATTGGCTGCTTCTTAAACAGGACACTTGGATGCCTGAGCTTTTGACTCACTTTCACATAAAATGACCCCATAATTTGACACTTTGCCAACTTCTACCATAAGTATTAACCACTACACATAAGAGCACACACATACTTCAGAGTATGTATATGACAGAATGTAAGAAGAGACATAATAAGTTCCCTTTAATAATAACACATTAATTACTGAAATGTAAGAATATTTAAATACTCGTCTTCTGCTAGAAGACTGTCATACAAGCAAGGACCGTGTATAACACAGAAAATCACTGACCCAATTTCTAAGAAACCAGCATCTACAAACTTCGCTTGATCGTAAATCTGTCACTTTCCATTACACATGCCTGCCTGAGTGTCTGAGGGCTCCAATGAGGTCATTTAGAGGAAGGCTGTGTGGTGCACTGGGCACAGAAGGCGCATACAGAGTGTCAGGAAAAGGGGCGGAATAGTTGGTGGAGCATGAGCGCAGGGAGGGAACCACTTTGACAGTAATAATACACTGCCACTGATTTCACTGATTAGCTCCTTTCTCTGGTTGAAGGTGTATTATTCGAGAAAATCAGCTGCTGTTGTGTTTGCTCGGAATGAAACACTGCCAACTTTGGTCACGACGGCACATGGCCGAGAAGCAATGGCCTACGTGATGTGTTCTTGTACTTACACTTATTTTCGTCCCCTCGTCATCAGGATCGGGCTCTTGTATCATCTCCATCTGGAAATGCAGAGAAAGAGAAAGGGAGCATGAGCAAAGTATAGAAACCTGCCACTTTCAGGACATGTTTAGAGATACATTTTATGCGAGTCCAGTGTCAGAAACCCTAAAACCAACTCTGACAGTCCTACGACAACCTTGAGAGATGGCATGATCTATGCACCGAAGGCTATAAATCTTTCAAAACCACATCAACACACAGCGTACGAACTGAGTGACTGCATCGCTACTGTTCTGTCTTTAAAAGTAAATGCCACTCTTGCCACTGTTTCTGATTTATTTTTAGATTTTCTGAGTGCTTCTGTGGAGAAATTAAAGACAGCTTCCAGATGCTGCTGTGAATTTAGTGGGAAAAGAAAACAAAAGCGGTTCAAACGAGGATGCTGTGTAACAAATGAACAGCTTCCTGAGACAAATCACACCTCAAAACCTCTATCAGCTTCTGCAGTGAAAAGTAATATCGCCTAGGAAAACTTATGACGAATAATAAAATGTCAGACAGCCGAGAATAACTTTTCACAATGGCACAAAAAACAGTGAACAGCAGTGTGGCTCCTGGGCTTACAAAATGCCTCTGTTTGAGCATAATTCTAGCATGGTGGCAAGCACTAAGCCTACAGCCTACATCATGGACTGAGCATTGATTTTAGAGGCTATAATTTATTTATCCCACATCGGATGCCAAATGGATGCGTGCCTGGAAAAAAAAAAGAAGCAAATAAAAAAAGAAAAGCCTGCTGACTACAAAGCTGAGGAGGAGCAAGAGCTGCACAATACAGAAGGAGTTTCTCCAGAGGACATAGAAGCTATTGGCTCCACGGTTCAGACAAAAAATGAAGGGCAGGAGGAGTGAGGGATAAGATGGCTACTTATAAGCATTTGCTGCAGAGAGCGTTCCTTCAAGTGCTGTAATTACCTCAGAGGAACCAGGGCGCTTTTCTCTAGAGGATGTGCAGTAGACAGGTGATTAATGAGAAGAATTAGGAGCCATAGCTTTCTCTGCCTGCATGTATGCACGGCTCCTACATTGTGACTTCACAGATAGACTTGGCATGCTCTATTGTAACAAGGAGATGTCTTTAACGACGAGGCACGATTAATTGTCCTCAGCCTCAATGTTGGGACTGGTTCAAGTCATCAATTTCAGCCCCTGCTTTTTACAAACCACTATAACGGTGGTTATATGGGCTGCGTGTGCAGTCCATATATGTCACCTGAGGAAGATCAAGTCAGACTGTGAGCAGAAGAAAAAGGCTCTGCTCTGCCGTACCAGGGAGGCTGCTGTGTTCAGGAAACATGGTGGATGAAGAATGATTTAATGACTTCTCCAATATTTGATCGTGGAATCTCCTGTAGGGATAATCAACTCACAGTTGAATTCTGTAACTATGTAATGTAAAATCACTTCTTCCTTGTTTTAATTTGTATCCCTTGTTGGGGATATCCATATTCTCATTGTTCCGCTTTCTAGAATTATTACTTAATGTCCAATATTAGCTACCAGCCTAACCACTCGTCAGCAAATTTCCATGTCCTGTCTGTCTTGTCTCAGCCCTGTTTTTGATCATTCTGCCTATGTCATCCCCTCACCTCCCGCCTGCCAACTCTGTTCAAAATCCCTTCCTTCTCTTTGTCCCATCTCCCCAAACTCTTACGCTCCATTTTGCTTATTTCAGTTAAAGCTGAAGCATCCACATGTGATGCAGCTCTGTCTCTGGGACAAAGCTCAGTTAACAGGACCTGAGATGGTGGAAAACTGTTCTGTTGCTGAACACGTGGACACTGCATCCTTCAAACTAATAAGTACAGTGATCACCCAACTTTTTAGCAGGGGTTCGTTTAAGACTCTGCGTCTCTGATAGTATGGCACTATGGAATTGGCAACTTGCACATCGGGAAACGTATCAGTGCTGAAAGATTAGCTTCAATTAATTTCAAATAAACATGGGCTTTTAGCTCAGCCATCTCTGCATAAAAATCTATGTCACAAAGTGTGGACATAAAATGATTGCTATGAAATTTTAGCTTCATATACTTCAAATAACTTTAAGACGTTTCAAGCCATTTTTCACACACTGAAACCTGAAGCAGTGTTTAAACATGAATATCTCAAAAACTATTAAAGATAAAACCTGGAAATTTTCACTGGCCTTTCTTATGATCAAAATTAAAATATGTGAAATATGGGGGCCAGTAGATTAAAAATGTCTGATAACTGGCTACTTAAAATATGAAAAAGTCCAGCACTCCTGCAAAGTCCCATATTTGAGCACACACTAATAATAACACCACTTGCTTCTAGCAGAGCTATGTTTATAAAGTGACTTTTGACCTTTACACAGTTCTAAAAAAATGTTTACAATGCATTTCATATTCACCTGTTCTCATACACAGTAGATAAATCATGGCATGTTGTTACCAGCCATCCAGAGACACTTGAAATTCACAGCCGAGGACACTCTGGCATGTGGCAGGGCCCAGAAAATTGAGTTTTCAAAATGTAAAATTTTAACTCAAGCCACAGTCTTTTTTGAAACCTCACCTCTTTTGGTGCTCAGCTCTTTTTTGTTTAAACCAAACCAAACAGAAGCGATGGAACGAAAAATGAAAGGATAAACATTCACACAGCGTCTCGTGTGGCTTTTCTTCTGATGGTTTCTAAAGTTAAAGCTAATAAACTGTTCCTGACTGCCTTCATTCCTCTTGCCTCATTTGAACTGTTTAACATCCACACACAGTATAATCATCAGATATAAATTAGCAATAAGTCTGACAGTGTGATCAGTCTTATCCTCTGTAAATAGGAAAGCCACAGATTAGGATGAGTAGATTTTGACAACTGTAAGGTTTTTACCCAGGCGCAGGAGTTGAAAAGACATACTATATGAAACATTTTCTTTTAGAGCTCAAGCTTTGCAGCACTGACATTAGGAAGACCTAAAAATTAGTATCTTTATCATCATTTGCAATATTCTGTTCTGATTGATCAAAGCTTTCTGCAATAACATCTTTAACTACTGATAATGAAGTCTATGAAATCAGCCTACTTCAGTTTTTTGATTTTGACATTATCTTTATCAATCTTTATTCTTCTTTGGCTAACTGAGGAAAACCACTAAGGGTGAAGCGCTTTATAATCCAAATTAACTGTGAATCTACACATACTGAACAGTTCTTTAAATTTCATATTTTTCCCAATAAGATAAGAAACTATGCAGCTGTTTTCCCAGGCAAAGCCCACATATAACACAATCATGGTAAAATACGTTACACACCTGCATGCTAGCAAAATTAGCTTCAGCTTTCAAGGCAACAGCTAAAGTTACCTATTAAATAGCCACAGAACTGAGTCAACAATTTAATCATGGTTCTGAATAGAGCTTTACATAAGGTTCCTTCTGTTCACATTATAACCTTCTTCTTCAGGTGTTGTCAATCAGTAGTTCAATGGTGACACTATAATTTGAGTCTATCCACAGTTAATTCTGTGTAGTCACATCTTATCTCAAGTGCAGAGTCTTAGAGTCTCCCTGTTTGCTGGCAGACAGTGTTTGGGTTCGTCTTATCGCTCTCTGGTGGTGATCTATTGAAAGCACTCCCTTGCTTGTGGATGTAAGAGGTCAACAGCATGTGTGACAAGCCACAACAGACTGAATGCTCAATTTCTGATCAGAAGCCACCATATGCCTTACAGCCATACTACTCTGAGCACGCCTCTATGTAAGATCTTGGAAGCCAAGGTTGGGGCTCTTTACTGCCTGAATGGGAGGTTGTTTGAGACTACAAGGTGCTGTAAACTTGGAGTGGCTGTGGCTCATTGGGTTGACCAATTGGAAGGTTGGTGATTTAACTCCCAGCTGCCCTAGTCTGTTTGCTGATTAGACCTTGAGCATCTTGGTTTGTGTAGGATGTTGAAGCCAAATTGCCAGCATCTGTTAAAGAATAAGCTTGACAGAAAGTTTTTAAAAGAATAGAATAATGTGCCGTGAGAGCTCAGTTGGGATAGAAAAGCACCACTGAAGCATCAGTCTATCTAGTTTAGACATCTGGTCAAATCACACAGTCATCACAAGTCCGAAGACTAATCACAGAAAGCAGAGCCACAGGTGTTTTTAAAAAGAGGAATTTTTTTACACAGCTTTTCCAAACATCCTAGTTTTATATCTACATTACTGTACTTTGCACACAGAAACGAAGTTATTTACCCAAAACCAAACACTACCAAGGTCAAACTTACGAGCCCTTCTGAGGCTAATAGTCAATGGTGGACCCTTTTTGCTTCATTCTTCAGTCAGTTGTAATTTTAAAGGGTTTCACAGGTCTGCTGAGCAGTTCCACCCATAGTCCTTTGGTGGGTTTGATGGGTCTTTGGTATTAATCTGCACCTTCAGTTCACAGAAAGTAAACTGAGGCCGCTCGGTAACAATCACTTTGGTCTTCTAGAGGTAGTTCTTTACCAGTTATTCACATCCTCTCTCTTCCAAGCTTGTTCTGTACTCTGTGGCATTCTTTGAATTTATCAGTGATACTCATCACTTCAGTTCTTGACACTTGGAAATGCTGTGATAACTTTGTGTATCCATCTCCTTCTTAGCACATATCAACGATTCTTTTTTTCTCATGTCTAAACTGATTTGTCTGGTTTTGGCATGAGGTTTTGTCACTTGACATGTCAAACCCTTGCCAACATTTTAAATTGAAAGTTAACTCACAGTTTTAACTTGACTTTACAAGCTTGAAGTATTACACAGTGAAAACACAATTATACAGCAGGGGTTTCTGCTATGGCTAAATTCAAAAGACCAGTGTTTCAGAGGACTAATAATACTGAACCATGTCATTTCTCTATTTTTAAAATAATTCTGTTATTGTTATGCTAAGAAAACTAGTATGTTTAGAAATATTATGTGGAAAATCACTTGCAAATGGAGACATTTTGACAAAAACGTAAAATTTCATAGTTAGCCTAATAATTTTGTCCTCATCTGTCATGAGTCAGT